TTGACGGATAACGGTACGGCGCTAGGAAGGTGAAGGGAATGTCCTGCACATGCATGCGCATGAAATGTAAGAATATGAGAGCTCATACCACCTCAAACGCACGAAGTGATACACTGAGAGCAGAGCCTGGAATTAATTGGCCCCAAACCCCGAACTTACATAAGAGTTTAACGCATTCATGAAGTTGGTGAACTCCTCGCCAAAGAACAAGCCAGTAGTCACTGAGGTTTCACGGCATGTACGGCATGACGTAAGAGAGCGGGCCCCCCGGGCATGTAAGCTGAGGCGGTGTCACATCACCGCAGCCGGGCATACATACATACATATGCATTTATACACGCATGCACCCTCCATATCGTAAGGTCCGGACGAATAGGCAATCTGCCGTACGTAGAGTACGTACGTACGGCGTCCTACTATGTGGCCCTACATAACATGCACACACAGGCACCCTGTTCGCTGTCCATTACACCCCTCCCCCTCCACCCCCTCCCCCCCTCATTACTTTTAAAAAAACATTTTATCAATGAGGGCGTGTAGTTCACTGAACGAAAGAGTACGGCACCCAATGTAACCGTAAACGGTTAACCGTTAAGTTTCCGTACATACCCGTTCGTTGAAGGATGGCGAAATGGGGATCAGGCTGTTCACAACGGTGAAAAAGCCCTCCACATCAATGGGGTCCAAGCCGCGGGTTTGACCAAGAACCTCCAAAGCTCCCTCGTTGGCGTTGACTCCAAGTAACACTGGAACCTTGGTGGCGTTGCCTAATTAAGAAGAGCCCACATGATTCGAATTACGTTCGCTAGATGAAGGGTTTTAGTACTGTGAACTAGAAAAAAAGACCTCAGCCCCACTCTGCCGTACATGTGCATAACTCAGCTTAACTCTCATGTACACATACATACATACATACAGATACACCCACATATGCGCAGATGTAGACCTACACACGTCACGCCGTGGACGCTGAACTGGGAGTCCTGGGTCCAGACGAGGAGTCCTTTCCCTTCTCTTCCGGACGCACATCCAGGCTTTGGCATATTCTGTTCTAGCTTCTAGACAGCTAGCCGTACATGTGCCATGCCGTACATAGTAGTTGTACAGCAAGGGATACCGTGGTACTCCGTATGTATCGACTGCCTGTCACTCAATGCACGATAATCAAAACGATTCTTGAAAAGGTTTCTAGACCGGCGAGATGTCTATCCTCTAGCTAGGAGCCCAGCTGCTTCTTGCCCTAGCCACCGCCCACCCCCATCCCCCACTTTTTCATTGGGACTTTGAGATGAATCGGATGGCGGTTTGATGCACATACATACGCACACAGATACATATTCTCGGCAGACCAGCACCCGCACAAACAGTCTCGCGACCATGCGACTCACCTCTTTGCGACATCTCCCCCCGGCATCTCGCCTCTCAATACCCCTAAGTACATACTTGCAGCAAGATGTGAAACTCAACACATACCCCCTCCAACCCTTTAAACCCCCCTCCCCCGGCCGTGCCCCAAACACCCATCCAGCTTTCCCCCCCGGGCCCCCCCGCGCACAAAACACACAATGCGATACACGCTTCAAAAGCGCTCCGTACATACCTGTACGGCGTCCGTTCGGGGTTCTTGGGATGCCCAATCGGGTAGTTGGCCATGCCGCACACGGGCGAGTGTACGAGGACTACGGCAGGGCGGTTAGGGAGCTCGAGCACTCGACGAACCAACCGCTCGGCGTTCTTGACGATGGGGTTGTCGGCCAACTTGGCTTCCTCAGCCATGCGTCGCAGGCTGTGCGCGTCACTGCGCATAGGCCGAGTACAGGTTGGGTTGATTCAAGCAGGGAAGTTCATCACAGCTTTTTGGCTATGAATTTAATAGAAAAGGGTCGTTAAGGTTTATGGGCATTTCTTAACGGGGCATTTCGCCGCTCCAGCAGCAGCTTCAGCAAGTCAGATTCCACGGACTGGTCCTCTTTGCTCTGAGGGGCGGGGCCACGAGAGGGTGGGTAGATGTGTAGACCCATCAAACCCACAATAAAATGTAAGGCGGCTCCATTTGAGGACATGGCAACATGAAAGGACATGTTTTGTGAGGGAGGATTAGCCAGTGAATAAAGCCAAACAGCATTAGCAGTAGTAGCAGTAGTAGCAGCAGAAATTGATTAGTAGTCAACTGCAGCACACATCGATAGCTGGGACAGACAGAAGCGCCACCGCTCCGCACACCAGCCGCCACATCCAAGGTGACCGCCACCGCGACTGTTGACCTCCCGGCCCCACCTCCTTCCCCTGAACGCGCACTCGCCGTCTGTCCCCCCTTACCTGCCCCATAAGCCACCCTCTGGCCTGCTTCGTTTTTCCGGCCTCCGAGTGCTTCACCAGCAGCCGCAGCACCTCCCACAGCAACTGCCTCTGAGCGGCTGAAGCTGCTGCCGCCGCAGCTGTGGGGGCCCCCGAGTCACCCACGTTGGTCTGCTGCTCCCAGGGCGTGTCGTTGGCGCCACACGCTGCTGCGTGGTCACTCAGCCACTTCAGCACCTGCACCACGACATGTCGGGTGAAAGCTTGGACGTGCGGATGCGGTTCGGGTGGGGTAGGTGGGGTAGGTGAGAAGTGTAACACTAGGCGAGGACTGGCGGACAGGACGCGCATAAGCGCATAAACAAATAAGCAGCAATTTTTGGGCGAGGCCCCGGGCGCGAAGCCCCATTTGGGGTGCCGAGTCCCCCGGGTTCACTGCTGTCAGTCAGTCAGTCAGTCAGTGGCTTACACATCTTGCCCCGCACAAAATTGCGTTTGAATACTATATCCATTCTATATCGAAATGCCAAAGGAGACATTCCAGATAAATCGGAGCGCGTTCCATGGCTCCGAGTTTGACATAAAGTTACATATCTCGCTCCGCAAAAGATTGAATGTAGAAGCTATATCTATTCTATATCGAAATGCCAAAGGATATATTCCAGATAAATCGGAGCGCGAAGATAGCTTTCCTGTAAGTGGCTGCACCGGGGCCGAGCCCCTTTTCGGCTTTGAAAAGCCGCCCCCCTAGTCAAGGCAGTTTTCGCGGAATCTTGTCAAGGTTGGATTCGTGGCATTTTCGAAATCTAACTTAAAGTTCCCCAGACTCATGTGTAAGGACACAGCCACGCACCTTGTCCTTGCTTGTCGATCACGGCTCCAGCACGGGCGCAGAAGCGGCAGCCTGCGCGAGGTCGGCAGGACCAGCAACGTCGGTGGCCCAGGGCAGAGTAACCATTCACACCGTCCGCATCACCACCACTGACAACAACAACGACAAAGAGAACAAGAACAAGAACAAGAAGGAGCGTCTTGCGAGCACCTTGACGTCATACACACGTGCTTTCTTCCTCAATGCTCATTTCAATACCCCTTTGCCAGTTTAGTGAGGTCGGGGGAAGCGGCGGCGGTTCGAGTGGGGTTCGAGGTGGTGGGGCGGAAGGGTGCGGTGATGGTGAGGGGGGCGGGGGGGGGGTTGGTCCAGTAGTGCGAAGGGTTTCGCGCGGCGTCCGGCGTAGTCTGCGGCGTCTCCGGACTGCGAACGGGAGGGCTCGCGCTGGCTGAGGTCGGTGGACGCGGAAACCGAAGGGACGAGGGCCATGGTAACGAAGACGAAGACGATGCCGAAGAAGAGGATGACGTAACGACGACGTAACGAGGACTATGGCGAAGAAGAAGACGGACAGCGAGAAGCGTGTAGGCAGGATCGCCTACTCGATACCAACTGAAACGGTACTCCGAACCAAGGGATGCCAAATAATTAAACTCGCAAGCCCGTTGGGGGCGCGCACCTCGGCTTAGCGGACGAAGCCGTTGGCCAGATCCACAAACGCTGAAACTTTGCCTGCTGGGCAAAGCAAACATGGCCATATCATTCTAATATTTAGCTGAGCACGACGGTGCCCTGGATTCTGCTCGTGGCCGAAGTTGGTGGCAATTGACAAGGTGGCCGCCCAAACCTCAGCAATCCTTGCAATAAATCTGGGTAACACCCTTTAATATGTATAGGAAAAATCCATACTGAAAAGGCCACTACTTGAGGCGCCTGAAAGTTTGGAGAATGATAAGGCCATGTTGCTTGCCCAGCAGGC